GGCGGCCCGTGCCAGGCAGGAGCTGGCCCAGCTGGCACCGGCCCAGCAGATCATCCTGGAAGCACTTGCGGGAACTGGCACGAGCCAAAATTCCCACGTCAGCGCGGCGTGGTGGGGCAGGGAGCAGCCGGCCCTGCTCCCAGGGCTGCCCTGGCAGCCGCTTCCCGGAAGGGGCAGGCAGAGACGGCCCCTCACCGGCCCCTCCAGCTGGTCCCACCACCGTGAAGGTCACACCACCAGTGCCCGCCCTGATGCCGGGGTGAGGGGCTCAGGCAGCTGGCAGGGGAGATGTCCACATGGGCTGGGGATGGCGACGATCCCGGAGGGACGCCAGCTGTGAAAAGCCACTGTCCCCTCGCCCGGTCACCCACGAGTGACCCTGCGGCGCTGGACAGTGGCCAGGCCGGCCGGCGAGGCAGGACCCTGTCAGTGGGTTAATGAGTCACCAAGCCACCACCAGCACCGTCCCAGCACCCGGCACGCACCCTGGTGCCGGGGCTCTTTTTTTGGCCCCCCCCCCGCCACACCGAGGGCACCGCTGCCCGCCAGCCCTGGGAAAGCCCCACAGGCAGCGAGGTGTGGGCAGTGGCCGGGAGCACCCGGCTCCCAGGATTTGCATGTTGGTGATTAAGACAATGAGGCAATCGTCACTGTTGCCACATCAGTGTGAATCCCCGGAGCCCGCTATAAATGCCCTAATCGATGAGGCCGCCCAGAGCTGGGGCAGGGGCGAGCTGTGCCAGGCCGGGCCGCGCTTGCAGAGAGGAGAGACGCCGAGCCGGGCACCATGTGCTCCCTCACCCGTGAGTACCCGCAGCCCCAGCACCCGCTGCATCCACTGCTCCCACTGCCCCTACAGCACCCATTGCACCCACAGCACCCGCTGCACCCACTGCACCCACTGCCCCCAGAGCACCTGTAAAAACCCACTCTACCTGTAGCACCTGCTGCACCTGAGCACCCACAGCGCTTGCTGCACCCGCTGTACCTGCACACCCAGAGCCCCCAGCCCGCTGCCCCGTGGCCCCGGCACCGAGGGGCTGGTGGGATGCAGGGAGCACCCAGTCCCTCTCCCCCCTTTCAGGGAGTCTCTGCCCCTTCCCCAGGCTGCGTTGGTGCCGCCATTCCCGGGGGGCATCTGGTTGCTGCACCCAGACCCCGGCACTGGGTTGGGGACAAGGGTCTCCCTGGGGCGGGCGCTGAGCCACTGTCCCCGCAGGCATGCTGGCGCTGCTGCTGGGCACGCTGCTGTGGGCGCCCTGGCAGGCGCTGCACGGGGCGCCGCTGGTCGAGCTCTCGGGGGACCAGGACTTCCAGCTCTTCCTGCACAAGAACCTCGAGTTCACCCGCAAGATCAAGGGGGACGTGGCCGTGCTGCAGCGCGTGGTGGTGAGTCCCGGGTGCTGCGGCAGGGGGGACGGTGGCCATGGGCGCTGCAGGGTCGCAGATAAGGTGACCTTCCCCTCCCCAGCCTTATCGGCACGGTGAGGCCGGGAGCCAGTGGCGTCCCCTGCGCCTCGGTCTCCTGCCGCGCTGCTCAGCCCCAGGGCCCCCGGACACCCACAGGGGCTGTGACCATGCACAGCCCCGCTGCTCCCTCGGGGATGCGTGGGGACCTTCCTGGGGCACGCACCGGCCGGGGGCAGCCGTGCCGCAGTTTGCTCTTGTCCAGTCCCCATCTCACCGGGCAGCGGGTTCACCCCATCCCCTCCCTCCTCATGGCTGGGCTGTGGGGGGATCCCGCACCCCAGGGACGGGGTGTCAGGGGGTGGTGGGCTCCTCCGGCCACCCTGACCCCGTCCCCCTCGGCCGCAGTGCGACACCTTCCAGCTGTGCAAGGAGGAAGAGCTGCTGCTGGTGCGGCAGGACCTGGGCATCGTGCAGGTGCCGCTGGAGCAGTGCCACAGCCGCAACTTCCAGGCAGTGAGTACGGGCAGCCCACCCCTGCCACGAGCTGGCCGGTCTCAGCCCCACTGGCTTCGCCGCTCCTTGGGGCAGCCCAAAGCTCGCCGTGGCTCGGGGCGCGGTGGCCGGGCTGTGCCGAGTCCCGCTGACTATGCCATGCCCGCCCGCAGGAGGCCTGCTTCAGCCAGATCCACGACGGCCTCCGCGCCTACCATGGCTCCCTCGCCGCCGTCCTGGAGCTGCTGCCTGGGCACACCAGCCTGGTGGAGACCCTGCAGCTGGACGCTGCCAACCTCTCCTCCAACATCCAGCAGCAGGTGAGGGGGGAACGGGGTGAGCACGCGCGGGGCCGGCATCCCCGGGGAGATGGGGAGGGCACACGGGGACA